ATTTTATAAACTCTATAGTGTATATATTCTTGGGCTTTGTTCATTTAAATTTATATTCTCCAGTTTATTTTCATGTTCATTCCCAAATTAAAAAATGGACTCGAGGAACGGCATAAGACGTACTCGACGAATTTCGACAAAAGACGGAAGCCACTAATTCTGGCGAAAGACAAACCCGACAAACATCGGCCGAAGAAGTCGACCAACTCCGACGAACTCCCAACAGAGAAACTTGCGTGACTATCTCCAAATGACTCCCAACCCGTCTTTTCCCGGCAAACAAAGATTATCACTCTTTGTGAAATCTCCCTGCTTCTTAGGCGAATGTTTTTTTTTTTAAAAAAAAAATCATTAAGTTCCTGTTTTTTTAATTCTTAGTAAAAAAAAAAAAGAAAGTGGCAATGATTGTTGGTTTTTGTTCATATCTACCAATTATTTATATTGGTTTATGTCAATTTCTCGTAAATGAACATAGTACCATTGATGAAGGCATATGATAGTCATTTGTGTATAATTTAGTACCTATCTGTATTAAATACTAATTTTTGCTGAAAGGTTTTACGTTCACTTGTCCAACTCATTTTATAACCATAATGCATGATGGGCGTGAGAGGGTGTCACTGTTTGCTAGTCAGTTGTGTCGTCAGAATGAAAAATAAAAAAAAAATAAAAAAAATGCATCTAACTATAGTGTCTTTCTGGAGTTTAAATCATCAAGCAAGTGAATGAAGGTTTGAGTTCTTGATAGCGACAAAAGTTGTGTCGTAGACTTGCATATATTAGTTTTTGTAGATAATTACAACTATCTAGGATGTTCTCCAAATAAGCATGTGCTTGTATTGAGTGCCATGGACTTGCATGCCCTACGTTTAAGATGTTAGAATATCTTTTTTGATGGCATATTACTAACATTTTTGGAGTATTGAATAAATATTCTGTAAGTATGTTAAATTTACAAATGATGTTTATTTTTTATATCATTTGTAATATGTATAAGTAGTTTTTGTTTATTCAACAAAGTTGGTACTAAATATTATTTCATGAGTACTCATAAACGTTGAATCTAGTATTATTTTTTGCAATACCTATATTGATTTTTTAAATTATAATAAGTAATTATTGTCAGTTAAATAAAGTTGGTACTAAATATTATTGCATGAGTACTAGTAAACATCAAACCTGTTACTATTCCTTTACAAATTCAATATCGGTTTACTAAACTTATATTAATGTGCAAGTAATTATGTTCCTTCATCAAAGTGAGTACTAACTACTATTGCATGAGTACTAGAAAACGTCGAACCTAGTAGTATACCTTTTGCAATACCAGTATTGATTTTCTAAATTTATAACTGGTACAAGTTATTCTTGGTCGTTCAACAAAGTTAATAAAGCTATTGCATCAGTACCAGTAAACGTCAAACATAGTTCTGTCTATATGCGATACTAGTATCGATTTACTGAACTTATAATAAGGTACAAGTAATTCTTATTCGTTGAAAAATGTGGGTACTACAAACTACTGAATGAGTATTAAAAAACGTTGAACTAGATACGGCCTTTTGGCAACAACAATATTGGTTTTCTAAAATTATAATAGGCAAACAACACTAAAGCACTTCTTCTCATGATATGATCATATATTTGGTACAAAATTTCACCACTATATTGTAGATTTGACTAATATCAATCCGCATCATTAGTAAACAATTAAAATGACATGGAAGAAATAACGGATTAAAGAAATTTTGTTTAGGAATCCTATACTTGTGTTTCTTTCTTGACAGTGGAGAGTTTGTAGTTAATTGTACTTATAAGTTATTTAGCATTGACTTTGGTCAACAAACATAAATTTCTTGCATTTTTTTTGGTACAGGGACCTTCCGATTTTTGGATCCACAGGGGAACCGACTAATCCGGAATCGAGTCGGGTAGAACCACAAGGGCAGCAAAGCTCTCCCTCAAGAGTTTTAACACTGCTGCATTCCCAGGGCTCGAACATGAGACCACTGGTTAAGCTAGAAGAGACCCAAACCATCTCATCCAAGCGCTCTTGGGTTAAAATTCTTGCATTTTAGTCAACATGTATGAAACTGATACCTACTTCACGTTATAATGTTGTTCAATCGATCATTAACAAATATTTATTTTGTAGTATAAAGTACATATTTTAATAAACTTTGAAAAATGTAAAATTCCAGCCTTCAACGTTATTATGTTTACTAAAAATAACTAGTGTTTTAATTTGAATAAGATAATCAATGTGAGTAATTATTTATAGTGCTAAATAGTCATGAACTTATCACACTGACGATAAACACTAAAACACTAATGTCATCATATGATTTGTTGTCTATCATGATAAACTAGAACACTAATGTCAACATATGATTTGTTGTCTATCATGGTAGATAAACTAGACGCGGATACCTTTGTAAACAAGCTTTGTGCCTATTTTCGTCTTATGGCGGATGGATAATCGTGAAGACGATCGTAAACAAAAATTTTGCACTTTTGGGTCAAAGGTTTGGAGGTATCGAAGACCATGATGCAAGAAGGAGCTTCAAACTAGAGAATGTTACCATGAGACATAAAAGGTTTATGCATGTGACATACAAAAATCACCATCTATAGTCTGTTCTTGTTCAGTGACGCATTTGCTACCACTCCATAAAAACTGTTTCAAATCATTTGTATAATGTATAATTTTATAGCTTCAACCACAAGATTCGGTCATACATCCAATATTCAGTTTTCCTTGGAAACCATTCATGTGAATCAAGAATAATTACTTGATAGACACAATCAGTCATGAGTCACTATATAGATTCCACCAGAGCACTTGTACCGACTCCCAAAATCATCTCATCTTGTAATGACAGCCGAGGATTTGGAAAAACATCAATGCACAATATGCAGAACATCAAATTTGATATAAACCAAGACATTCAAATAATCCGAATTTGATATATAAACCAACCAGTTCAAATAATCCGGTGTCTAAAGATTCAAACAGACCCAATATGTCCGAAACATTACCAGTTAAAATAAGTTGAACGATGTCACACTGGTCTATTAAATTGTCCTCGGCATGATCAAAGATACTGAGTGCATTTACAAACTCATGGACCAAAGTAAAGGGACCTCTCCCACTTGAATTCCTCATCAAGTCCTTGATCTCCGAATAGGTGACCTACTACAAAGAACAAGAGAAAATGTAAATAAATGAAACACATCAGCGGAATATTGAAAAAAAAAACATGAACATAAATAATATGCATCTACCTTCTGTATCTCCCGTATTCAGGACTCCTGGGCCTGTCATAGGAAGGACCATTGTACCGATCATAAACTGGGCTGCGGGCCCGCCCATAATCAGGACTGGGTCGACTCCTACGGTACCCAGGGCTCGGCGACCTACGGTAAGGACTGTCCCCACGCCTTCCATAACCTCTTCTTGGGCTGTCGCGTAGTCCACCCCTCTCATCATCATCCCTCAAAGCATACTCAACGGAAACAACCCTATCCAGAATCGTACTGCAAAATTCAAAAGACATACTATCAGCCATATAAAGCACCAAAAATAACAAGGAAAAAAAAGGTATGTCAAAAATATAAAAGCGATAGATAGGGGTGATATTCCAGTAAGGCTTCTCATCTCACCTCATGTTGGTGCTCTCCAAAGCCTTGGTAGCATCTTCCTGGGTTTCAAATTGCACAAATGCAAAGTTTCTACGAATGCGTACATTGAGAACCTTCCCATATGGCTCAAAGTGTCTTTCAATGTCGTGGATCCTCGTACGCACAGGATCAAAGTTTATCACAAAGAGGGTTTTCGTTGGCCTCTGGTTAGCTGCTCGCCCATCACGATGTCTACCACGTTCACCCTGCCAAGATGAACAACACAAACATTTACAAAAATGTAAAATAAAACAGCAAGTAGGTAAATGAATAGCCATAACTGTAGCTGATTAAAGCTAAAACCATACAAAATGAAAGGACAACTGATAAAGTTTAGATGCCTTCGAAAGTGAACATACCTTGGCCCATTCAACCGACAACCTACGCCTGTCATACCCAAATGGTATATTGTCAAGACCTCGGATGGCATCTTCTGCATCACGCTCATCCTCAAAATAAACAAATGCAAATCCTGATGGTGAAACAACTAGTGTTAGAAACTGGGTAACAGAAATCAAACTTTACTATACCTCGTACTTCATAGTAGTTTCATCACTAACTTAGGATATATGTTCTCCCAGGGAAGTTTCAAAGGAAAAAAACAGTACAACACCTGCAAATATGAGAAGTTTCGGATGCAAGCAAGGATGTAGAGGCCTTGCATGGGAACTAAACACAGATGAATAATGATGGAGGCAATTAAAGGCTAGTAGTAGATCATGGTGATAGTTGGGTATTCATTTTGCTACGCATGCTTCACCAATCTCAACAGCACGAGTTCAGTAAATGGGAGATATATTGCATGAAAGAACTCATTGATCGCCTTATGAATAGTGATGGTAGGCATGGCATGATGAACTTGACACACAGAGCCCTTAATCTTTATTGTGGTAGGCATTTCATGATTTGTTCATCGCCATTTCTTGCGAGATGGCAATTGTAAGTCAAAAGGAAAGAGTGAGTGAAAGACATGTAGAACATTTGCATCAGCTTTAGTAGGAGAGCAGATAAGCACGTAGGTTGGTTGCCTTTGCATAAGAGATTTTTATTGCAGAGAAGATGGCAAGCCAATATAGAAGCTCATTTTTCCCTAGAAGATGTTCCTGCGTCAAAACAAAGGCTTAAACATGGGACTACACCTGATAAATATCCACGCTTCCTTCCATTTTTTTTTTCAAGGAGACAACTTTTTCACTAATTCTTCCTTTTTGAAGGATGAACCCAACAATGGCATGTGTGTGTGTGTGATATAATAGATAAAGCATATCAAAATTATTAATATTGGAAGACACACGCACACACACACACACAAATTTATGCACATATGAAAACAGCCATTATTTCATGTTTCGATGTTTATTACATAGCTGAATTCATGTATAACTTACTACCAACATGTTCGAATGTTATGCCTTTTATCACCAGGCACACCAACCGAGCCGAAAAGTCATCACATGGCCAATCACTCAACCAATAACCAAAAGAAATCAATCTAAAAGCCCTTTTCCAGTAGTCCAATATTTCAAGAAAGACTTACACGGAAGCCAAATTACAAATCAGCAACAACATACTAAGACCTTAATGTGCTCCGAATTAATTCAACCAACGCAAGTAGCCCTGTAAGAGGACGCCTATTTTCAAACCATCCAAATATTTGGAGCAATCAAAGCCGATTTTCAAACTATCCAAATAACTGATATCCCCATAAACAAATCGAAAGGACAAGAAAGTACACAATCATTATGCAGGGATAATAATAATAATAAAAAAAAAAAAAAA